CTATGCGTGTGTGTATTATCCCGCTCTATGCGTGTGTGTGTCATCCCGCGCTATGCGTGTGCTCTATGTGTGTGTGTGTATATATATGTATATATATATATGTATATGTGTGTGTGTGTATATGTTTTTAAATAGTGTTTTGCAACTATATTGCCTTGCTTCCGTGTGGAATAATATTAATACTCGCAATATATGCAAGAAATATGAAATGCATCCAAAAATCATATTATATTAACTGATTAACAACTCACATTATTTCACATTGAATTGCATATGTGGAGTAATTGTGTTACAGTTTTTTGGGTTGATCTGACCAATCCTCCTTGTTTTATTTTTCAGGTGTTACAGTCAGCAAAGGAGCAGATCAAGTGGTCAATTCTAAAATAACATTTTCCATGACCTCTGAAGGAATCTGTAAATTATTGCAAGGGAATTTCATTTTTTATTTTTAATGAGTTGTAATGTAATTAATTATGAAAGTAGTGCACATGGGTAGTTACGTCTCATGTTTAGTGCTGATATATTTATATTTTTGTCAAAGAGTAAATTAGGTCATTTGTGTTTTTTAAATGATATAAAGAGGCATATTTGCTCACTGGGCTCTGAACCAAATATCAGCCAATACACAAATACCTGTCTATTTCCAAAGCAGCTTTAAAGCAATTGCAATTCTTTTTAACCTCTGGAAATATTGATATATTGCTGTTCTGTTTAGAGGAGGTACAGTTATGTTTTCTTTCAGCATAGCCTCTCATTTAAATGGTCACATGTCAAAACTTTATTTTCTAAACTTGTCTTTTATCAGTTTTGGTATTTTTGTTTTGCTTTACAACCCTTTTGTCAAAAAATAATTGGCAAAGTTCTGTTACACTAGGCCTATATATAACTAAATATTTTGTATATATGTGTTTTTTTTAATGAGGAAAGGGCAATATTATGAAATTGATATGAGCCAGTTAGAGGCACTAATATTATGGTATAGTCCACTATAATAAATAATAATTGTCTGACAAGCCACAACTAAACACTACATGTACTGTAGTTTAGAAGTATGAAAAGTAGCATTTAAAAGGTTGATAAAAAATTCAAAGACTTAAAAAGTATTTTGTTTTGGATATTATATAAAATAACAATGAGTAACATTTCCATATTTTATTTTCTAGTAAAATAAACTCTGTGTATTCTGTTGTTTAAAACCATGGTTTCAGGAAATAATTGTGCACAAAAATGTCATTTAATTAATAAATATTGTTTTTTAGTATTTGTAGAGTTGTTTCTGTCTTAAGGCCGAATGACAATACGACAACGATGCTGATTCTCTATTGGTGAGAGAACAGTGAATGTAGACCAACCAGATTTCTTCCATAATGAATATTCTGCATAAATACGAATATATTTAATAATAATAAAAAGAGGGTGTGGCTTGGACTGCCATTGGATACCGTAGGCCAATGAAAATCGCGAAGCCGAGGCTCCGCCTACACAACTGAACCAAAGGGCCGCTGCTGAGGACTCGTCGAAGCGTGACTGGTCGCAGATATTAAAGCTGGGTGTTGACTTTTGAAAGCGGAGGTGAACTTCAACACCCAATCACATTTCACTCTCTCTTTTCGGCTTATGCAGTATGTAGACAGTCGATTCCAGCCAAATCTGACCGTTACTAGCCCAAATAAAACATACAGGCTATTAGTTACCCAAATGTTTTGGTTAAGTTTAGAGGTTAAATTTAGTTGTTTATTTTTGTGAAGATAATTTTAGAGCTGACAAAAATAACAACAAATAACATAACACATACATATAGCCCACCATATCACAGTCTACAATAAATAAGGCTATCAGAAAGTAAGCACAATTTGCACAGTACATAGGCTACAATTAACACGATTTAAACAGGCCTAAACATATGAAAATTTACGCAAAATCCACAGTAAATTCCGTTCTTATGTCAAATTATTATATTTAATTAAAATTATATCCTCATCAGTATTAGGTGATCACATCGAATTAATAATAATAATAGCCATTATAATAATCACTGACGAAGCAAAACCCATTTCACCATAAACATCAAAAATAACCAGAATGGTTTGTACTAAAATAAATGTAGATTATGCCAAAGACCATAATAAAAGTGGATTTATTGTAGTCTGGAAGCATCTTTAAAGCTTCTGTTACGACGATTTAATATTTTTCATATCGTGATCATTGAAAAATCAGAGTGATTCGTGTGCACAAGTTCATTAATGCGCATCCAGTGTTAGAAAAAAACACATATTAACATGACAAATATTGAGACTCAAAACTGAAACAATTGTTGAAACTAGGTCTAAATCATCTGTTTATTAGCATAACATTTTAACTCTCGCAAAATGTTATAGGCCTAGGCTATTTCCCATCGCGGGCATAGGCTAAAAAATAAAGCACTAAAAATGACTGTGGATTTTTTTTTTAGTTTTTGTTGTTGTTGTTGATGAGTTTTTTAGATTTCGGCTTATTATTATTTTTTTTATCTGTTAGTCCTGTTTAAAAAGGCTGCTATAAATTTAGCTAAAAACTTACACCAGCAATTAACTATTAACTAAATTAAATTAATTAAATTAATTTAAATTTTTGAATTTAAAATGTTATTTTAAATTACCACATACACCAATTTAATTAGAAAGAAATAGCGACAAAAGAGAAAGCACTAGGCGCGTAATGTACGTGACCTGGACGCGTTGGAGCGCTGACTGACCAGAACCAGCTAACACTGCTACATACTTTCTCTCATGACTTACTGTCTTCATTTCCTCCCTGCGATAATATAATTTTCTTCATTTGATCTCCTACTTCTGTGTTTAGTTTGGACCTCTGTTTGGGCTCCTCATGGGTGTAGGTACCTCTTATAATAGGCCTACCATTTTTGGCCTGTTTATTTGTGCGTTTTTTAACCTCTTTATTTAATCTCTTTATTTATATATTAGAGAGAGAGAGAGAGAGAGATTAATTTTGTATTTTGTAAAATAAATAAATAAAATGAAATGTTAAAAAATGAAGGAAACGATGATGAAGAAAGGGGAACCCACTCCCCAACAAAATAGCTATAGCCTACTCCTATTAGAACACCAATCATCAGTATTGTTGTTGTTGTATCATTTAATTAATTTAAGTTTAATTAATTTGTGCCTTAGTAATCATAATTTATGCGTTATTTCTGCCATATGACGTTCACAAACGCTGTCAAAATTCACATGCAGGTATTGTTTTAAACGGTTTACAGGATTTCCCTTCAAATCAGCCACCAGAAATTATGAAATTACAATTGTAGCCTAATCTATTTTTATGTTCTGATAAGATCAAAATAACTTTTTTTTGGTAAACATTAAGATTTCAGGTTATAATCCATATAATGAAAAGTCATCATGTAGTCATCATGAGTTTAAAAATACCTAATAGTTGAGCAGACATATTGCAGTGATAAAAATGCTCATGGAAATCAGTGATGTAGTGACTGTAGTGGTGAAAGTAATTTCATTGTTTACGAGTTTGAATGTAATTATTGGTAAATAAAATCAAGCTGAATGTAGGTTACAAAAACCTGTGAAATCGAGTATAATTGACATTAATTATTGAACAGTTAAATGGATGGGAACAAATGTTTGAAATTGGGGGAAAACTTTACAGAATACTAATACTGTCACTGAATGTGTTTTCTCAGAAGCACAAGTATTTGACAGATGTTGGCTTTCATCCCTGATTGTAAATTGCCAGGAGTGGTGAATGATTGTTGTGTTTGTGATTATCGCCGTCCAGTGGACAAATAGAAATCTACACTGTCAACTTGAAAAAGCCAGACTCTCAGCATCTAAGACGTTTGTGCTCAATGTAAATTAAATATATTGTGCACAAAAGAAGATATATAAACAGTCCCTGGTTGCCATTGACCTCCATAGTATGGAAAAAAAACACTATGGCGGTCAATAACTACCAGCAACTGTTTGGTTACCAACATTCTTCAAAATATCTTCTTTTGTGATCGTCAGAAAAAAGAAACCAGCATCTCTTTGCAGCATCCTTTTCACCAAACATATCATGGATGTAGCTATTTTTAACCCTTGTAGGAATCCACCATTTATGGCATCATGTTTCCTGCATGTAATTATACAGAGGGGTCATAAAGCGAACACACACACACACACTCACGCTCACACACACGTGTCGCTGCATCTTCACATCCTCAGGAAATGTGTTTTTAAGAGAGTAGCGGGTGTTAATAGATTTCAGATCACTTGCAGCTGCTCTCACAAAGTGCTTCAAAGCGAAGAAGCGCTGGATGAAAGAACGCCACTTCATCTGTCACAGACCGCGTCATGGGGGACAGAGACACGCAACGTTGTGGGCTCGTCCCGAAATACAGTCCTCCACGAGGTCACAACTGCACGCTAATTTCCTCAAGGACTTAACCTTGAGAAGATTTGTCTACATATTTCTCATTTTTTGCCATGAGAAAACTGACCTTGTTTCCCCTGTGCTGAGTAGTTTATTGATATGATGAAAGACAAAAGTATGTATAAATGACATAAAGCTGTAGGCATTCATAAAGCCAAACAAATGCTTTCAAGTAAGCTCTACCACATATTTATAATTCAAGCAGTTGGCATGTTGAAGGGCTTACGGATCCATTAACACAATAGGAGAAGGAGGATTCAGTCTGACAGCTGTCAATCAAGTGTGACAGCCATACCAAAGATCGATCTATCTATCTATCTATCTATCTATCTACCTATCTATCTAAAGGGCATATTTGTCTAGCTAGCTGTACATTCACCCTGTGTCACATTATGTCAAATTTAAAGTAAGTAATTAATAAAAAAATAAATTTTTTTAAATCTTTAATTTTCATTGGGTTCTAAACTAATAAAATAAAATATATTGAAACTCATATTTATGTGATGATAAATAAACTATAAGCCAAGAATATAACATTATGACTATATTATGTTTTACAAATAACAATAGATATTCATTACAGGGTATTTCACCCTCAAACCTTTTCAGGGGCCGATATCACCAATCACCAAAACTGGCATATTATATTATATTATATTATATTATATTATATTATATTAGTGTGAAATGTATGTATATATATATATATATATATATATATATATATATACAAAATATACAAAATTATGTTCCACTGTATATGTGTAAACGGCTGGTGAGTCTTCAAAATAAAAGCATCTTATTAAATAATAAATTAAGTCAATCACACAATTCATGGTGTATAAAGATGAGCTTTAAGACAGATACGAGCATATAATATTGATCAAACATCAAGCTGGCTCTATAAATCAATGAATTATAGGGGGTTCAGTTTTAAAACACTGATTG